GGTCCCTCCATTGCACCCTGTGTTTGCATCCTCCGACCCGTACATCACTACAACCCTCAACATAGACATGAGGGTTGGAGGATGGAATCACAGCCTGAGGCGGATGTACACAGACATCAACACCATGGCAGATCATGTGATTATAACAGAGGCGCAAACTTCCTCGACCCATTTTTTAAGATTTCTCCAAAAGCACCGGAACAGCGGATCCGGCAACAACGTTTCTAAAATCTTTGCATCATATACAGGTGACCTGGAGGAAAACATTTTACAACCGGAGTTTCACTTTAAGTTAAAGAAACATGTGTGAATATTCTGCCGTCACAAAGCCGTGAACAGAACGCTAAAGTGCATTAATTCCTCCTATGAACCGAGCTTAATAGTTACCGCCTAAGACCGGATACTCCGAGTGCTAATGTAAACCCAACTCGCTACTAGAACTGAAGACTAATGAAGCAACCAATCTATTCCTAACAGGGATTCCTGTGTCTATGGTATATATGCCGCTCCTCACGCGGGGGAAAGTCTGATAAAGAGCGGCCTAAAGGAGCCCTGAATTGTGACGGCTCCTTGGCCTTAGCGTAACGTGAAAGGTGTAGAGCTCAAAGCAAAACGTTTGTCAAGCAGAATAATCATATAATACAATCCAAAGTGTTAAAGAATAACAATCTATTAGTGAAGAAAAAAAAAAAGTGTTCGGTACAAATTAGTGAATTTAAAGAGACCCTGTCACTTTACCCATTAATGAGAAATTGACAGCCCGCCCCCTACGCATGTATACTTACCCATCCATGCTTTCTCACCACCACCCCACACTGACGGAGACCTAGTTAATGGTATGAGGCATCCAAGTATGGGTGAGCGCATGACTACCCCAACAGGACAGTGCTCTGGCATCAGCAGCCAATCACCAGTCTGAACACCATCACATGGGGGGTGGCATGGCATCAATTATCCCCCTAAGCTCTGATACCAGTTGACACCTGAGCTTAGATCGGGGCAGGGATGCTGCAGCAGGGAGGTGGTGAGGGGGCATAGTTGGGTAAGTTTTAATGGCAAAGGTGTGGGCTATAGGAAACACTGTGGGGGGAATTTATCAAAACTGGAACAGACCGCATCTGGAGCAGTTGCTCATGGCAACCAATCAGCTTCTCTCTTCAGTCTACTCAGGTAAGATTTGAAAATGACACAGAGAAGCCGATTGGTTGCAGTGCACATCTGCTCCAGTATTTGATAAATCCCCCCCCCCCCCTGTCTTATTTAAAGAATATTCTT